CTATAGTACTGAAACAATAGTTGCAAGAAGGGTATATCACTCTAACCCCTACATTAACCCCAATCGTGGGGTTGCGTGTTCAAGGTTTCGTGTTGTTTTGAGACTTCCATCTGGTCTTCCAAGTATTCCCAGTCCAGTCCCGATCTACTGAGGGTACCTCATGTCCTGCTATATACGGGGGTTTCCGAAAATTAGGGGTCCCCTGTTTTGGAATTCTGATAATAAGTATCCTACCATTTAGGGTACCATATCAGAGTCCCCTATTTTCGGAAACTCCAAAATGAGAAACAACATGTAGGCAGCTGAGCAATCAGAGGAAGGTTTCGAGGACTCGCCAGAAAACTAAATCCTAAACACTCAAACCTAGGCGATCTCTTCTATAAGTCCTGAGATCCAACACCTACGCCTTACACCAGGGCAAACACCCAGACACCCTCGAACCTTGAAGTATTCCTTACCCGACAAGATATTGCCATTCACTGCATACGATAGGTACCAATACCGTACAGTACTAGACCATACTATACGATCTATACTATACGATACTATGTTATGTTGTAACACATTACGGCTGAGGGTATAAATCCTGCAATACCTTAAGGACCCTAAACTATCGGAATTAACGTACATTCCTTATTATGGGTAATGCAGGATTTATATCATCAACCTTATGTTACATCCCCAACCCCCGGGATGCCGACAGCCAGCATGTCATTCTGCATGTCCTGGCTGCTCCACCCACTCACCCACGACGTGAGAACCAACACCAACCATAAATCCCCGAAGTTTAGGGCTTAGGGTTTAGGGCCGCATCTCTTGATAAAATGTGGTACTTTTTCGTATGCCCATACGCAGAACCGCCGAAGCATTCTACGAAACAGACGCGCAGCAGCAGAAGCCCAGAAACTCCAGTTTGCCCCCAAGGTCTGTGTATGTGGGTGGTTGTCAACATTATGGTCCCTTTTTCGGCACTCAAAATAACAGGTGCCGTATTATCATAGGGGCCCAAAAGGGACCATGATTTCGACAACCATGCATGTATACAGAGCATAATGACTGAAGATCTTCGGCACATGCAGATAACTCTCCTAATGAATGCTCAAACATATGAAGGTGTCATTGTAGAGAAGCAACTCAGACAATGGACAATGGATGAATGCCAAACATATCTGTAATATTATTTTCTAGAAATTCATGTATATATGTACGCACACACACACGCATGGAGACACACATGCGTGCATGCCTGCTCTACCTGCAGCGGACGGCGCCCCGACGGCCCAACAGCCTCCGCCAGCTTTTGACAGGCTTTCAGCGAGGCCATGTCATCGTCGAACGACCTCTCGGCACAGAGCCCAAAAAGGAAGCTGGGCATGCTTGGCTCTGGCGGTCGCGGCTCAGGGCGCTTCCGGCTTAGTCAGGGCGCAGAGCAGGGTTTTAGGGTTTTGGGCCACAGCAAGCCAGCATATGAATCCTGCACCCGCAAGCCTAAACTTAAAGACGGCAGACTGTACAAACAAACTGCACATCAAACCATCAAAGATTCCTCAGAGGATCGCCGACAAAATCATATACAAAGATTGGAAGTCCCGTTAGAGCCTGCACGTTAAACTCTGAAGCCGCTCCTTGACCGAACCTATTGTAAACCTAGGGCTTATTCTACAGCCCTTCGCATCGCAAGTCGAACTGAGAGCTCCGCCACTTACAGCGCCACTCCCGGGCGAGTGTGTCGTAGGTCACGCCTGGCAAGCATTCTCTTGGACCACAACATGCAGGCCTTGAGGCTAAAGCTAGAGGGGCTGAGGCTTTGAAGTGAAGGTTGAGCGTTCGCGGCTTGGGTTTGAGGGTGGAGCGGCTGAACACATCAGCCAGAGGCTAGCTATATTAAGGGTATATATAATGGGCTATATAATGGGTATATAATAGCTATATTCAGGGTATATACCTGCTTAGGGCGGGGGAGTCAGTCAATGTTTTTGAAACAGCGAAAACTGGTACCTGGGACTACAGGCACAATCTTTCCAAGCCGTAAGCCTCACGTCGTCCGGGACGATAGATCTAGAAACTACATTTGAGCCCTAATGCGGAATGCCAGACCAGAGAACAACCTCAACGTGTGCTGTTGTGCAGGTTAGCCTTTCGATAGACAACCGGCTGAGGGTTTCGGGCTTACGATTGTTCACTCACGGAGTTGAAGGTTGTGTTTGTTCGGGCTCAAATCACAAGCAAGATCTATCACTCTTATTATCATCTTTATTATGATTATTATTGCTATGACCATTACTACCAGTAGTACTAGTACTCTACCAAACCCCTGAAGTTCGCAAGTCGTGAATTTCCATCGAGCCTTCTGCGATCTGCTCCGCCATTGCGAGCACTGGAAGCCGAAAGTAAAGCTGCGGTATGCAGAGAGCCGCAGTGGATTGAGGACCTGTGGGGGATTAGGCCGCGCATCCTAAGATTCAATTCTTTGTGCCGTTTGGCGATCGGGAGGTGGCTTGACATGTAATGAATTAGTTGTTCTGCTTTCCACCCGCCCTTACACAGTCCTCTGGTCCTGCAGGTCCGCAGATGCCACAACGCAAACCTGGATGCCTTAACGCGCTACAGCCAAACCTCACTCCAAAAAATCCTAAAACCCTACCCCAGCTCATCCTGCAACTCGCGCCCTGAATTCCAATCCCTCAAACCCCAGCTACTAAACCCTACCCGCCCCAAACGAGAACCCTTTTCGAACCCTGGCAAAAGAACCCCTTAAGAACCCCTAAAGAGCCCGGAGAGAACCCTTCAAGAAGTCGTAAGGACTCTGCACGAAAGATGAATGACCCTTTAACTTTAGAACTCTTGAACCCTCATAGAACCCTTAAAGAACTCCTGTTTGCTTTGGTTTTTGAAGGCTGCCCTGGCTTTCGCAGGTCGACTCTGCGGGAAATGAAGCTCAGGTCAGCTCCCAAGGACTTTGGCTTTAAGGGTTTGGGGCTTCGGGTTTAGGGTTCTAGGGCTAAGGGGTTTCCAGGGTTTAGATGGGTTTAGGGTTTGGGGTTGAGGGTTGAGGTTTCTGAGGGATGTGACTGCACCATGAGGAGGCTTAGGCTTTAGGGCTTTGAGCTGTGAGGTTTTGAAAGTCTTTCTTCGAGGTTTCAGTGGTTAGGGGTTCGAAGTTTCGGGTATAAAGGATTGAAAAGTGCATTTCGGAGACTAGGGCTCGGCGAAGTTTAGGGTTTCAAGGCCTGCATAATGGGCTTCGGCCGAGGGATGCAATCACAGCTACTTGTAGGGGCCTACGAAACGTCGGCACAGCTGGCGGAAGCTCATGCGACAAGCTGGGCTGCAATGCCGCCTTCAGCAAAGTGGTAATGCGCCCAAGGGTTCAAGCAGCCGCATAGGGTTGGTACGTATTTGGGGGTCTCTGATCGGTCGGTTAGAAACGCACAACCTCAGTCAATTTCATGATGAACGCATACTTTGTAGTCACTCGGCATGCTTGTTGCGGTTCGGCCTTCCGAATTCCCTGGAGAAATGACCCATCGTTTGTGCACTGTGGGAACCCCCCGGGATTCAAACAACAACCAAGGGTTCCACTTAAAGGATCATGGGACTAGGGCTATTATTCGGATAACCATACTTATAACCCCGATTAGGGTACTTATAACCTTACTTACTAAGTCCCATGATCCTTTAAGCAGGGTCTCTTTGTTTCGGGATTTGAGTCGCGGTCCGGCTTCGGTTTCGCGAGGGCCGGGTTGAGGGTTGATTGAGAACTCAGGGTTCAGGCGCTCCTCTACACTACTGCACAAAATCCTGCATGACCGTAAGGACTCTAAACTATGGGAACTATGGTATATTCCTTACAATGGGTAATGCAGGATTTTGTCCATCAGCAGTATGATTATGCCATGCTTGGGGAAGGATCCTACTGATATGGGGGTTTCCGAAGATAGGGGACCCTAATATAGTACCCTAAATATAGCTAGTAGGATCCTTTTTATAAGCATCCCAAAAGAAAGGTACTCCTAATAATCGGAAACTCCCATATTTCTAGGACCATCGCCATGAAACTGCAACAGTTCACCGGGAAGATGCAAGGAATACTATACTGAACTTAGAACCCTAGCAAAAATTACAATTCTTCCTGTTTCTTAGGGATTATATTAATCAGAAAATAAAAACTATTTCTAAGTACCCTAAACCCCTAAACCCTAAACCCTAAGTCCCCTAAACCCCTAAACCCTAAACCCTTAGAACCCTAAACCCTAAACCCCTAGACCCTGAACCCTAAGGGAAGCCCCCAAGGGGCCCCAGGCAGCCCTGAAGTTCCAACGGAAACCCTGTCGAAAGCGTAGGAACCTGGGGCCTATTAGGGTTCCTTCAAAGGGGTCTATAAGGGTTACTTTAAGGGTTTAGGGTTTAGGATTTAGGGTTTAGGGTTTAGGGTTTAGGGTTTAGGGTTACTTTAAGGGATCTATAAGGGTACTATAACTATAACCTGATTAAGAAACCCTGGGCCTAAGGGTTCCTTTAAAGGGGCCTGTAAGGGTTACTATAAGGGATGCATAAGGGTACTATCATAATGTAGGAACCTGATTAAGAAACCCTGGCCCTATAAGCTCCAATGTATTAGGACTCATATAAGGAACCCCAACAAAGACCCAAGGTTTCTTAATCAGGTTCCGGCAGTAATAACAATGCAATCTAACAAACACCCCAAAGCCCAAAAGCTTCGCAAAACGCTCAAGTCCCAAAACCCTAAACCCTCAAGGCTGAACCCTCAAACAATCACAAAGATGGATCAAGGTTGCCCTCATGTTCTACAAGGTATCCCAAAGGGAATCCTGGCGAAAATCATCCTTCATCATGCCCAAAGACTTTGGAATATCCTAAACCCCTAAAAGCCTGAAAACTGAAAAAAACTCTAACCTCAAACCCCGAACATACCCAAATCCCCATAGCTATATAGCCCTGAACCCCTATAATATAGTGGTCGGGCTGAGAATCAGACGCTAAGGCTCCTGAGGAGCCTCACCACTCGCAGGGCTTTTGACTTCGGTTTGGGTTTAGGGTTTGGGGTTTAGGGGTTTAGGGGTTGAGGGGTTAGGGTTGAGGGTTGAGGGTTTAGGGATTAGGGTTTAGGGGTTTAGGGTTTAGGGGTTGCGGGTTTAGGGTTTAGGGGTTTAGGGTTTAGGGGTTGAGGGTTTAGGGTTTAGGGGTTTAGGGGTTGAGGGTTTAGGGGTTTAGGGATTAGGGTGTAGGGATTAGGGTTTCGGGTGTAGGGATTAGGGTTTAGGGATTCGGGTTTACGGATTTCGCTTGCTGGGGGTGTAGAAAGGCTGCAACAAACTGTGTCAAAAGGCCTGGGAATCAGTACAAACACATTCCAAAAGACAGTATAGCAATCCTACAGAACCCTGCGCAAATGCTGCATCAACCCCTATCAAACCGCGCAGAATCTTAACCCTAAGCCCTAAAACCCTAAACCCTTCCTACGGCGGGTGCCCTACTTTGTCGGGTATTCATGGGGAACTAAAACTTAACCTTTTAGGTTATGTAGGCGTTATATAGGGACTATACTACCCAAAAAAGGTTAAGGGTTACCTGCTCTACTGCTAAGAAAACCCTGAAATCCCAACCCTAAACCCCTAAACCCTCAACCCTAAACCAATAAAAACCCTCAACCCCTAAACCCTAAACCCTTCCTACAGCTGGTGCTCAGTGTTGAGAGAGTTTTGGTGCGGGTCGGTCTACAGGACTTCCGCAGATGTAAGGGCTTAATATGAGGGCCTTAAGAATTACAGTAGGGTTCCTTTAAAGGGCTCTATAAGGGATCTATAGTAGGGTTCTACAATATAGGGGCCTTAATAATTAGAATAGGGTCTTGGGCCCCATTATACTATAAATATGATAAGGACCTCCCCAAAAAATAATATAGGCAAGTATTAAGGCCCCTATATTAGGGCCTTGGCTTTTGGGCTTGAGGCAGGAGTTTCAACGGGGTTTGGGGTTTCAGGGTCTGGGGTTTAGAGCTTTGTGCGAAGTGTGAAGGGTTTGAGGGTTTGGTAGGAATGTAAATATGGTGTTTTGCGTGAAGCGTGGAAGGCTTGTGGGGTTGGAGTTTAGATGTGGTGCTTTGGGCTTGGACGCCGCCGTTTATGGCCTCTGTGGTTTTACTACTTAATGCAGGGGGCTGCGAGGCCTCCGCGGCAAGTTGAAGAACTCAGGTGTCAAAGGCTTGGACTTCACTTCTTCTACACGGAATCAAAGACTGTGAGCTCGCAGCATACTTCCATAAAAGAATCGGCCAGTCTCTAACCCATGGCCGTCAAACAACATTACTCCAACAGTCAGGAACCCTCCAGGATCATGAACGCCCACACGAAGCCCACCCTGAACCTGGACTTTGCAGTAACCAGGGAGAAAAAAGTATAGACTTCTATTTCATAATGGTTCCTTTAAGGAACAGGCAAAAAAAGTATTCAAGTATGGTAGTCCAAACCCAGGGAACTTCCCGAGAGCCATCCAGACCTCGGCCCGCACTTGGAGGAGACTGGAGACTCTCTCGCGGCAAATGGGACACCTTCCGAGGGCACCAGTTCCAGCAGACTTGTACGTAGGGGTTATCGGAAAAGTCGTCTGTTTGAACATGTTGGAGGTTGTTGACCTGAAGGGGTGTATTGAGGGTTGAGGAGCTCACTGATTTTCGGATGCAAGTTCAGAAACCCGGCGCCTGTAAGAGTGATACTGGATCTGCGTTCGCATGGTTTCGGCGCAGCCACTGCAAAGGCACATGTGCCTCGGCAACTGGTTCAGGATTGAGGAGTTGAGGGTTTGAGGGGTTTAGGGTTTGAGGGTCTCAGGGTTAGGTTTCAGACCTGGGACAGAATATGCTCCGTGTGCTTTAGGCTCGGTGTCTATAGGTTTAGGGTCTATTCATGACTTGTGCAGTCATGAAAGTTTGGGAAGTGGCACAAAGAGACGCCGTGTCTCCACAGAAGAATCTACAAAGTTCAAGGATCTATGCACGCTCCACTCTGCCCCGACTATTGTGAACATCGGGACTCCCAAACCCCTGTAGTTTGAGCTCCTGGAGCCCATCTGTTCCGAACACCTCGGAACCCTCCATGACTAAAACGAAAACCCACGAAAATCACAGGGCGCGACGCCGAATCGCTAACTTTAAACCGTATACAGGAGAAGCCAGAAAGAAACCTTGGGCCTTCATCAGGGCTCCTTATATGAATTCTACTGTTTTGGGAGTGTAGTCCCAGGGTTTCCCGTACTTAAAGGATCATGCAATTTAGTAACGAGGGTTATTGTTAGGGTAACTATACTTACGACCCCAATTATGGTACTTATAACCTTACTTACTAAGTCCCATGATCCTCCAAGTAGTACTCTTCAAGGAACCCTTTGGAGATCGAGTCGCCCCCAATGCGACACTTACCCGAGACACCGATCCTCAACGCCCTGATTCACGACGCCGGCGACGTCATGGGGCGAACATGACTTCTACGATGACTTCCCCACATTTGTGTACATATATATATACACACAATATATATATATATATATATATACACACATACATATATGTACATATTATGCTATATACATACATGTATATTAATTATGATATTGTGTTTTTCTGCTGGTGTGAAGTAAGTGCCCTTAGTCTAGTCTATGCAGTCGGGTTCCGTTACATGCAATGCCCTAACCTTGGGTGCCGGCCGGCACGGCAAAACCGCCGTGTCTCTCCGCTCCGACATGCAAATCGCCTTAGGCTTCTAGGATTTTAGGGGTTTACGGTTTATGGGCTTTAGGGTGTTAGGGCTGGGTTTCAGGGTTTTCGGGTTTTAAGGTTGTAGGGTTTAGGGTTTTAGAAGCTTAGGGTTTGAGGGTCTAGGGGAAATCCCCAGAACAGCAAAAACGGTGGCATTCGTCAGGGACGATGATGATGATGAGAAGCCCCACATCCTAAACCCAGAAACCTAAAGAACGTCTAACCAGGCTGCCGCTGGAAGAGTCGACCTCCATCAAACCCGAAGCCCTACAGCTCAATGAGGATGGGCTTTATCTGGGCTTGTAAGTAACCGGTGGACAAAGTATAAGCTTGTATTTCACAATGGTTCCTTTAAGACAACACTATAACAATCGCCAAGGCCCAGTTATAGGCTTCAGGAACCTTGAGGGTTCATGGTTAAGGAGCAGATTCCCGGTTGAATTTTTCAACGTGCTCCGCCATCAGTGGGAGCTCCAGAGTTCGAGCCTCAGGATGTTGTACTGTTGACGGTATAAATCCTGCAGGGTACCTTTACGGGTTTCCTTTACGGGATCTACAAGGGCACCTTTACGGGGTTCCTGTAAGGGATCTATAGGGTTTAGGGTTTAAGATTACCCAAAACAGGGAATGGACCATAATTCCCATAGTTTAGGGTCCTTAAGGTAATGCAGGGTTTATATCATCAGCCGTAGTTATAGGGCTTAGGCTTAGAGGGATCAGCGCAGGTCTGGTGCATGGTTTAAGTAGTTTTGGTATGCGGGTGTGCAGTCGACAGGGCTTGATCAATGTCGTTGGGTGTCAGGTATAAGGATATCCGAGGGTCCACATGTCATGCATGTTTTTCTCCCGCAACATACTCACCTCATTACCCTTGCCACTACTTTAAGCCGATGTGCCTAGCTATTATATAGTTCGTCCTCGCTATTCGGACTCTTCGGGTGAGTAGGTTGACGCACCCGACACAAAACTGGAAGTCAACCCTAAACCCTTACATTGGCTAGTGCGCCTTCGCACCCTGCGTCCAAGCCCACTCCATAAGCTCTAAAACTGTAATAATACTACTATAGTAATACTATAATAATACTATAATAATAGTACAATAAGAATAATACTATAATCAAACTATAGTAATGGTACTCTAATAATGATATCCATACCGACACCGCAACCACAAGTCGCAACTCGACCAAGGGCTGGGCGCAATCTTGGGCCGTCAGGGAGCCGCCTTCGCCACCTGAGCAGAGGGTACTGGAAACTTCCGGCTGTGAGATTTCAACATTCCTGAATTCAGAAAATCTTGTTGAAACATTTTCTTTGTAAGGCTGTGTAGGTGTCCGCAAGCTTTAAGGCTTTGACAGACGCGTATAGTCTCGTGCTGACAGGTTCCTCACCAAGCATCCTTGCTACAGCTTTAAAGCACACATGTCTCTAGCTTTCTGCTGTTTGGTATTTCTCCTATCTGATGGTGTTGTCCACGGCTGTGTTTGCCGAAGGACCTGAATCTTGAACTAAGGCTGCTCGGATTCAGAGCTTCCGAAACCATCAAACGGGCCAATAGCCAAACACATCAGCCCCCATTCCCCAGCCCCTGAAACTTTTACTAAGTACTATTCCTAGACAGCACTGCTTCCTCTCACCAAAACCACAGGAAATAAACCCTAAGCCTAAACCCCAAACCCTAAACCCTAAAAAATGACTCCTACTTCGTCTGAACTTGTCCACAGCCTTCTCCGTCCGCGCCAAAGACCTGCCCGAGCAATTCGACGGGTGACTTTCGGGGCTTTGGCTTCTAGACCTTCTAGTTTAAAGGGGCTTATAAGGGAATCTGAACCCCCAAAAAGGGAATAAGGGCCTGCTCAAGGCTTGCAGCGTGGGGTGTTTGAAGGGCGGCCAGGTGTGGGGTTCTAGGTCTAGGTTTACGGTACTCGCGGGGGTTTGTGGATGGACTCTTTCTCAGCAATGCTGCTTAGAAAACTCAGGAACATGACTTTTGTCACAATATGGCTACACCACTCGTACTCGATGCTGCCGCATTTAGAATAATATACCTCTGATGCCGTCGACTAACAACTTGTCATTGACATTGCGACTCCAATCCATAGATCTGGTACGTTAAAGACACCCCAAGTCTTAAGACCTGATGCCTTTGAACCTCCAGCCCTAAACCCCCGCAACCCTGAACCATACACCCTATACTTAAACCCTAAATACCCTCCAACCCAAAACCCCGAAGCTTAAACCTGCAGAAAACCAGAGCAGAACCCTATACACCCTATGCTGAACCCTAAACTGTCCAACCGTAAACCCGGAAGCCAAAACCTCCACCAAACCCTGGGAGCATGCGCAAGGCAATCTTTCGCCATCGGCCAAAGCTATCGTTTGCTCGGGCGCGCCGGGCTTGCGGCAGAGATGCAGATACCTCACAGCACTCTTGAGGGACGGGGGGGTTATGTTGGAGGTTCATGGGCGGTTATGAGGACTAAGTAGGATAAATATAGCTATAAGTGATATCCCACATAACGGGATTTATAACACCACTCGTAACTACCCATGAACCGCCATGTCGAGTTTAGGGCTTGGGGTTTCGGTGTAAAGCGTCTTTTCCTGCCAGCCCCGACGAGACCCGCGCCCGACTGACACTGGTTTCTGGATTTCGGATTTAAGGTTTCGGAATCTCGGGGTTTAGGGGTGGATTCTATTTGGCAAAGACTGTAAGACTACACGTTTGAAGAGACTAGTGTTTCAATATCCTAAACCGCAAGCCCTAACGCCACGGCCAGACCTGAAAGCCCTGAACCCATTGAGGCCCTAAATCTTCAAGTCGGATGCCCCAAGCCTTAAACTAAGCTCACACAGACCGAAACATGACCAGAACAAGATGCTTCTCAGACATCTAGACTTTCAGCAGCATCTATGTAGTGCGCTTAGATCACCAAACCAAAACAAACAAATGGCAACTCTGCCACGCCACGCTCTGGCACAGGGGGCGGTTGCCCCAGGGTCGCCACGGCTGGCAAGGTCGAACCTCTTAGACGTCCCCAGCACTTGCAGGGGACTTTCAGGGGTGCTTGTGGCTCAAGGTCTCTTAGCATTGAACGGTGATTCGGGTGTTAGAGGTTTGTCCGGATGTAAATGGCTTCAAGAAGACATGCGGAGGGTGTTGGGTCGGAGTTCCTCGGAGTTCCTAACTCAACAAAGATGGAACAGTGTTGGGTTCGAGCTCCGGCAGGTCGGGTTGTATATGCAGGCGAAGCAATGGTCGCTTGAGGATATCACCGTTTGTTCATGTGCCCAAGTGTTCAGTGTTTGCAACTCAAGACCTGGATTTGGGCGACAAGTATAGGGGCCTTCATAATTAGAACAGGGTCTCGGGGCCCGTTATAGTATAGTTATCATAAGCAACCCCAGAAATGGTATAGCATGTTATTTTAGGGTTTAGGGTTTCGGGTTTAGGTTTTAAGATAGTGTTGCAGAAGGTCTTGTGAGCTCATCCAAGCCTTCAAATTATCCAGCTGAGTTCCCGGCAGAAGCCCCTGTGGCTCCTCGACTTCACTTGTCTCCACCTTGGCATGCCATGAAGCCTAAACCCAAGCCCCAAACCCTGAGGCCTAAACCCTAAAAAACCTATATCCTACACCCTAGGCCATAAACCCTGAATCCCAACCCCTAAACCCTAACCCTAAACGCTAAGCCCGACCTGCTAAAGCGAAGGTTCCTTGAGAAATTCCTCATCTCGGGCTCCTGCCTGCAAGTTCAGGAATCATATCACAGCTTCCTGGTTCGAGATCCTTATCATTTCTCGGTTGAAGGATGCCTTCCTGGTTTCAAAAGACCCAGGGTCCCTCAACCCTAAACCCTGAAACCCCTAGATATACCATAAGCCTCTTAACCTTAAGCTTTGCCCTTAACTGACTTAACTCCTAAACCGTACTCGTACACGTTTGGTGAGCGGATGATCCTGGTTCCAATGAGTGCTGGGGTTTTGGAGTATCCTGCTCTGCAGGGTTGAAGCTTTGGATGTTGTAAACGGTTTACGGTTCCTTTTTGGGGGGCTCTTCTCCGACCGTGCTCTCGAACGGCTCAGGGTTCAGCGGATTACTGTTGCAACTTGAGGGTTTGAGCAGCTGCGGTTTGGAAATAAACCTTCTGCAGGGCCATGACAACACGACAAGGTCCAGGGTTGTGGATTCAGGCGCCGAGGCACTCCATCCCACTCCACCGTATGGAGGTACTGAGGCCGCACCTACCCACAAGACTGCCGGAACATGACAGTTATCATACGATATATACTACAATATGGTATAGTATGATACATTGTAACACAATGTATTGTGAAGGTGCTGATGGTTAAACTCCTACTAGCCCCCACATGGCAACCGTGCTCTTCGCGAGCTTACGATTCGGTCCTGCGGCATAGATATTTTTGGGACTTAAGGATCAAGGCTCTGGGGTTTAGTGTTCAGGGCCCAGGATGTAAGGGTGCATGTCAGTCAGAGGGTTCAGATATCAGAGCTTGTGGTTCACGTCGGGTCCGTGGTGAGATTCTGGAGGGATTGTAGAAGCCTTTCTTCAAAGATAAGGCTTGGTTAACTGCTGAGCATTGACAAGGCTTTACGTTTAAGGCCGTATAGGCAGTGCGTTGCAACCTCGCAGCCCAAAGGTGTCGAGACCCCTTTCCCTCATGTCCTGATATGGGAATTTACTATTCAGGGTACTAGATTAGGGTCCCCTGTTTTCGGAAACTCCCATATCAAAAAAAGCTGGCAACATCCTCACCGGGACCTCTACAGCAAAGCTAAGGCCGGATTCAAGGTTTAGAGCTGTCACTACTATTTGCTTAAGAACCCCCAAAAAATAAAAAATATTCCTTATGGGGGTAATATAGGGATTATTATTTTTATGTTTTGGGGGGTTCTTAAGCAAATAGTAGGTCAGGTTTAGCTTCAAAAAGCCTGGGGCTGAGACCTGCAGGTCTATAGAGTCGAAGCTTACCTGAAACAGTCAGTCTCTGTAGAGCTCGTAGAACGTTCAATACTGGGGTGAAGGACTCCGTAATCCCGACCCCTTTACACCCTAAACCCTACATTACAACTCTGGACCCCACTAAACTCTACACCCTTTTGCCTAAACCCTAAATGGGCGTTTCCGAGAATAAGGGACCCTGATATTTGATATAATACCCTAAATTGGCCTGGACCCAAAAATAAGGCACCACCAATTTTCGGAAACTTCCAAATCCTGAGCCCGAGCACGCTGAAGCAAGGACCTGCCTTTGGCGTCACCATGGCGTACACTCCACCCGGGGCAAGGATCCGATAAACCTCCTCGGCTGACTCTGTACTACAGTTGATGATATAAATCGTGCATTACCTTAAGGACCCTAAACTATGGGAATTACGGTATATTCCTTGTAAAGGGTAATGCAAGATTTATATCATCAACAGTATCACGAGGCCTTACGAACTAAAATGAAAAACGGAGCGGGGGTGTGGTATCTAAGGGGCCTTAGAGAAAGCTTCGCAGGGGTTCTGTAAGGGGCCTTAGAGAAAGGCACATAGGGGTTCGGGGTGGCATATGGGTCTGTCCGAATAGGGGGCACCCTACCAGGAGTGTTGGGATCGGGGTATGTTTCGCGGGTATGTTTCAGGGTATGTTTCGGGGTGTGTTTCGGGGTATGTTTGGGGGTGTGTTTCGCGCAGACTATTAGTAGTAGCAATAGAAGTAGTAGCAGCAGTAGTAGTAGTAGCAGTAGCAGTAGCAGTAGTAGTAGTCGTCGTAGTAGTAGCAGTTGGTAGTAGTGATAGCAGTAGTAGTAGTAGTAGTAGTGGTAGTAGTAGTAGTAGTAGTAGTAGTAGTAGTAGTAGTAGTAGTACTAGAAGTGGTAGTAGCAGGAGTAGTAGCAATAGCAGTAGCAGTAGCAGTAGCAGTAGCAGTAGAAGTAGCAGTAGCAGTAGCAGTAGCAGTAGCAGCGGCAGCAGCAGCAGCAGCAGTAGCAGTAGCAGTAGCAGTAGCAGTAGCAGTAGCAGTAGCAGTAGCAGTAGCAGTAGCAGTAGCAGTAGCAGTAGCAGTAGCAGTAGCAGTAGCAGTAGCAGTAGCAGTAGGAGGAGTAGTAGTAGTAGTAGTAGTAGTAGTAGTAGTAGTAGTAGTAGTAGTAGTAGAACTAGAAGTAGTAGTGGCAATAGCTGCAGTAGTGGTACAGGCATCGTTGTGGGCTGCAGGTCTGGAAGGTCCCGACTTGTCAGGCGGTTAGTATCGCTTCGAAGCGGAAAAGGCCAACGGGCTACTTGGAGCAAATCCAAGTATGTTTCGGGTATGTTTCAGGTATGTTACGGGTATGTTACGGGAAACCTTTCCTGACCTGGGTTGAGCTACTCTAGACCTTCGCCCGCTGCTAACTTCATCCAAACGATTTGAATAACGCGGGGGTATGTTTCAGGGGTATGTTTCGGGGTATGTTTCAGGGTATGTTTCGGGGTATGTTTCGGGGTGTGTTTCGCGCAAGGACAACACTCCTCCAAGACTACAAATTCACCCCCCCCAAAAAAGACAGACCCATATGGTAGAAGAACTGGAAAGGAAGTCTAAAGGGATCTTGTACAGGGGATATTACAGCTAATCATTCCGAGCTCTATAATACTGATCTGATGCTTCTTTTCATGTTTCCGGCTTTACTTGGAGGGGCAGGGACTTAGTAAGTAGGTTATAAGCAGGGTTATAATTGGGGTAACTCCATTTAGGGCACTTATAACTCTACTTATAACCTACTTACTAAGTCCCCTGCCGGTCCAAGTAGGGTTTGGGTCCGACCACCCCAGTTTTGGAATCAATGGGCTCAGGTAGTGCTTGCTTAAGCATGGCGCTAGCAACAGGGGCATTTACAAGCCTTCGGCCAGCTGTCCCACGAAAACGAACTTGTGAAGCTTGATGACCATCATGCTCAACTTGAGACCTTGAGCTTAAACCGAACCTACCGAACGAAAGCTGCAGAAAAGCGCACGAAGACTCCATCACCTTGTGTTTATCTGCTTATCTTAAAGTGCCTTCGTAAGCGACTGAACTTCGGCATGCATACACGCACAGCGCAGGCATGCACAGCGCACAGGTTGTGGGGAAGGCGAATACCTTGCAGGGGTTTTGATTTTATAGGGATATGTAGACACCTCAGCAAAATCCTCGGTGTGGCAACAAACCCCACCTTCACCCTATGCCCTCCCGAGTCACTTTCACCCTCGTCCGTGAACCTCACACTTCTAGACCCAAGAGTAACCTAGGAATAAAAAGGGTGCCCTTTTTGGCTTAAAGGGGCTTATAAGGGAACCTGAACCCTAAAAAGGGAATAAGGGCCTACTCTAGGTCCTAGACTTCAAACCCCACATAAAAACCCCAACCTTCAAACCCTAAACCCCACATAGAACCCCGAATCTGAATCCCTAAACCCCATAGAACCCTCAACCGGGGCCCATTATAGTATAACTGTAATAAGGAACCCCCACAGTGGAAGAGAAATTAGTTAAGGCCCCTATATGGGAGTTTCCGAAATTAGGGGTACCTTATTCTGGGGTCCTTATACCAAAAATCCTACTATTTAGGGTCTTATATTAGGGTCCCCTGTTTTCGGAAACTCCTCTATTAGAACCCTTCAGCGAGCTTCTGCAAAAAGCGCCCTTCTGAGCGCTCGGGACTCCCGCGTCCGCGCGCGAAACTGCCTGGAGCTGCCCCAAGATTGGATTTCTGGGACGAGTAGCTTGGGATGATAGGGTTTGGGGTTTAGGATCTAAGGTGTCGGATTTCAGGTTCAGGGCTTAAGGTTGCAGGCTCCCTGGAGCTCCCAGTACCCAAGTCATACCTACTCTGGGGTCTGAGGTCGTAACATGGTCTGTCCAGGGAATATCTACGAACCGTCAGCATCATCTAAACTTCCTCAGAACAGGCTTTGGTGGGTTATCATACTATTCATCTGATTCACCACAACTGGGATACACCGCAAACACGATGTTTTTGCGCAAAGAAAACTCTTGCAGCACTTACCGCCGTGGTGCAGCGTGTCGGCGAGACCCTTGTCGACCACGGCACCCACCTCGCCATCTTCGAAGAGATGTCCTTGTCCCCAGGGCTGCTGCCCGGACCCTAATAGCTAGGACAGACAGACGGACGGACGGACAAACGAACAGACAGACAGGTAGATACGCAGCTGGATGGATAGCCTCTAGAAGATTGTATGGGCAGTCGCAGCTACAGTGTTGGCACATCCTGAACCCTTCCCTGACCCACAAGTCAGCCTGAACCCCGAACCTCCGTGCTGATCGAATTCTGGACTTCCGGCCTCGCCTCTTCCCTAAGGGGCAAGATCGTCCTCAAAGCCTTAAGTTGTTGGGTCTTGGTGCATTGCTTCGCATTCGCCCCTGAAAGCCTGGACCCAAGAGTAACCTAGGAATAAAAAGGGTGCCCTTTTTGGGTTTAAAGGGTGTTATAAGGGAACCTACACCCTAAAAAAGGGAATAAGGGCCTACTCTGGGTCCTAGAAGCTCTGAACAAGGTCCGGCATGGCTTGGAGAAGGGCCTCATGAGGTGCACATCAACTTGGGGGTTTCCGAAAGTAGGGGTACCTTAAAAGGGATCTATAAGGGTTCCTAAAAGGGATCTATAAGGGTTCTATAAAGGGTTTAGGGTTTAGAGTTTCCGAAAAGTAGGGGTACCCTATTCTAGGGTCCTTCTTATAAGGATCCTACTACTTAGGCTACTATATTAGGGTCCCCTATTTTCGGAAACTCCCACTTTGAAGGACTAAAGCCAACAACATCAGCAGCCCAGGGCTGACATCCAACAAACCTAGGACCGAGGAGCCGAATGGCAGTTTCCAAAAACTCGGGGTACCTTATGTTAAGGTCCTTAGATTAAGGATCCTACTATTTAGGGTACCGCATTAGGGTCCCCTACTTTCGGAAACTCCCAAATCGACAACGTACCTACAGTCTCCACTGTAGTTCCGTGATTCGGTTTCACCCTGTTTAGCATATTGTAGGATTTCCAAAGGCAGTTGAGTTCAAAAAGCACCCACTCCTCGTCTTGCGATATGGTGCTTCGAATTGAGCCCTCATCCTCTCACTGGCCCAAAACCCAAGGGAATAAAAGTTGAAACTTTCAGAATCGACTACTTTGTAAGAACCCCAAAAGTTGAAAAGTTGAGTTTACAGCCAATGAGTCCTTATAAGCCGAAATCCTTGAACCAACGCCCTAAATCAATAACCCTACAGCCTCGAGTCCGAGATTTTCTGCTCTGGACCCTAAGCCGCACCGGCCCATGGGATCTTGATGTAGGGGCCTTAATAGTTAGGATAGGGTTAAGGGGTATATTATACTATGATTATAATTAATAAGGAACCCACCAAAACAGTACAGATAATTACTTCGGCCCATTGGAGCTTATGAGCCTCAAGCTGGGTGCCCTGCCAAGGTCCGTCGCATCGGCCACGGCAAAACGCAAGCCAGACCTCTGGCTCTCAGTGTTGAGGGCTAGGATTTTAGGGTTTAGGGTTTAGGGTTTAGGTTTAGGGGTTTAGGGGCTTAGGGGTTTAGGGTTTAGGGGTTTAGGGGTTTAGGGGTTTAGGGGTTTAGGGTTTAGGGTGGGTTTTTAGGGTGTAGGGTTTTAAGCATTAGGCTTTAGGGAGTTCAAGGGCTCATAGGGTGCAGGGCTTTCGATGCAAAAATTGGATGGCCTGGTATGATCTTTGTTTATGACACGGTGAAGGGTGTAGGGTACCCAAACCTTAACAGGCCATTCCTATTGCAAGGGAACAAGTTTGCAGTTTTCTGGTCGCATCGGTGCTTATTTGCCCGTCCATCTATATATGCATGTATCTCAGTTCGAAATCCTGATCCTGAAGACCTAACTCTCAAGGAGGCTTGTAAGTAGCTCTCTAAAATTAAGGTCTCTTATAAGATCTAAATCCTGCATTACCCATAATAAGGAACATAGAATAATTCCCATCGCTTAGGGTCCTTAAGGTAATCATCAACAATAGGATCCCTCTAGGAGCCTCGCTCTTCCCACTATACTGAACTTAGAACCCTAGCAAAAATTGTGATTTTAGCTGTTTCTTAGGGATTATAATAACCAAAAATTCAAAAATATTTCTAAGTATCCCTAAGGTAATAAGCCTTAGAAGCGATCCCAGGGTGGAGAAGCCCCCCCGTTCATCTTCAAATCCCCAGAGATCTGCAAATCCATGACTCACTCCAAGGGTAGAAGGAGGGACCCTTAATAAGGACCCCTAGGTATATACCCTCAATATAGCTCTTATATACCCATTAATTATAGGGTAGGGGTCCCCATTAAGGATCCCTCCTTTTCCCCTTTGACTCACTGAAGCCTGCAAAAATTAGCAAATACGAATCCCGAATACCCGCAAAATCCACGGGGCAAGGGCCTGCCAGCTGCCCTCTCTGCGGCTCGGCGAAGGGCCTCCTTGTATCGCTGGGCTATGAAAACCACGGTGGCAACAACACAAGCAACAATGTGTTTAGGGTTAGTCGCGCATATGCAGTTACGGGAACGACCACCAACTGCAGACGATTCGAAGAAAATCTCCATCAGCCACCTCGAGGGCTCACGATGTCTGTGCCATGAGCATCTCGCCAGAATCTCAGACCTGCATAGACCCCGGCCGGTAATGAACCTCCCCATGATGAAGTCTCCGGTCCTCAGAGATGTCGACAGCTAGCATGGCCCCACCTGCAGAGCTCGGGCTTAGCCAGGGGTGTAGTGTTAAAGGGATCTCCGGATAGGGTTTAGGGTTTTCAGGGTTTAAGGACTTTAGGGATTAGGGCTTTTAAGGTTTTAAGGGCTTGGATTTAGGGCTCAATTGAATTTGGCTCTCGTGAATGAGTACTTGGCACAAGGCCCAGATTCTCGTGGAGCTGCTGGGCGAGGGAGCTGTCGCCACAACCGATCCTGGAAAGACCCCCCCCAAGCCTTTACGGGGTCTGGGGTTTATGGCTTCAGTCGGTTTCGAACAAGCTTCTAAAGGTTGTTCATACTGTTATTAAAAACTAAATTAATCACTGGTCTTGTAGTGGCTTCACTAGTGCTGCGGGCTGCATGTGGTCGTGTTGGGCAAGGTCCGGCATCGAAAACAGGGGACCCTAAGATATACTACCCTAAATAGTAGGATCCAAAATATAAGGACCCAACATAAGGTACCCTTAAGTTTCGGAAACTCCCGAAAGCCCAAAACCTTGAACCCAGCTGGTCCGACAAGGGGCTCCAGGATCGTTTCCGGGCAGCGTCGGCGGAAGGCCTTCGGACTTGCAAGGCCCGGAAAATACCAACCCTTAAAGGAACCCTTATTAAAGGAACCCTAAGGAACCCTTAAAGGAAGCCTTAAATTTACAGGAACCCTAAGGAACCCTAAAAAGAGCCCTAAACCCGGAAAATACCAACCCCAATCGCTGCAGTTTAGTGTTGGAGATGTAATACAGGGGCCTCGATAAGTAGAATAGGGTTCTATTATTCTGTAAGAGTATAAAACCCCATCATTGCAGTTTAGTGTTGGAATTGAACAACCGCAGCAATGCACGCACTTCTTGTTTCAGCAGCGCTGCTGCTCGAAGTAAACGAACAGGTCCAAGCCTCTCAAGAGCAGAACTGCCAACTGCCAAGGACAAATGCAAGCCGCACCGCACAGCTGCACTTGTACTCACTCTCTGACACTTGTCTGGGCCTGCTCGCTTTCGAATGGCGCCCGTGCGCTCCACCCCGCGGCTGCGCACCTGCAAAATCGACGAAATCCGGGCCAGGCAAAAGCTGTCGGAAGCAACATCTGGATCGTCCCAACAAAGTGATCATGGCAGGCTTCCGGGCCTGGCTGCAGCATGGTCTAAACTCAAACTCATAGGCCGCAGCACTAGTCCAGGTGCGACGAAGTCGGGTCAGGCAATAGCTTTCGGAAGCAACATCTGGATCGTCGTCAGTTTTTGACGGATGAGAATTATGTAGGGGCTGTACTACTTCATTGGAACCTGGTTTGGAATACATTGTAGCCTGGGTGCAAGACGAACCCTGAACCCAAACCCAAGAACCCTAAACCCTAACCCTAAAGCCTACATTCCCTAAATCCTCAACCCTATACCCCAAACCCTAAACTCTTTAAATCCTAAACCCGAAGCCCTACACCTTTAAATCTTTTCGGTTATCTTTAAGGGAATCCTTACAGGAAGCCTTAAATTAAAGGAATCCTCAAAGGAGACCCTTAAAAGGAAGCCTTAAAGGAAGCCTTAAAAGGGAGCCCTTTCAGGAGACCCGAAAGGAAGCCTTAAAGCAGACCCCCAAAGACGGTCATCCCCTAAACCCTAAAGCCTAAACCCTTCAAGGAACCCTTATTAAAGGAACCCTAAGGAACCCTAAAAGGAACCCTTGAAAGGAGCCCTTAAAGGAAGCCTTAACAGGTAGCCTTAAAAGGGTTCCGTAAGGGAACCCTAAGGAAGCCGTAAAAGGAGGAAGCCTTCTAGGAGACCCCAAAAGAAGGTCCATCCCCTAAACCCTAAACCCTTAAAGGAACCCTTATTAAAGGAACCCTAAGGGAGACCCTGAAAGGAACCCTTAAAGGAACCCTTAAAGGAACCCTTGAAAGGAACCCTTGAAAGGAACCCCAAAAGGAACCCCAAAAATGAGCCCTAAAAGGAACCCTTAAAGGAAGCCTTAAAACTTAAAGGAAGGATCATCTCTGCACCTCCAGGAGCTTCGGGAGCAAGGCGTCGGGGCGGGAAATCCACTCCGTGCCCACGGCCTTCGTCGGGAGGTTCGGGGGCCGAGGGTTTTGGGCTTTGGGGTTTAGGGCCTAGGGTTTAGGGTGCAGGGTGTAGGGCCTAGGGTTTGGGCTTTGGGGTTTAGGGCCTGGGTTTAGGGTGTAGGGTGTAGGGCCCTGGGGGTTTGGGCTTTAGGGTTTAGGGCCTAGGGTTTGGGCTTTGGGGTTTAGGGCCTGGGTTTTGGGCTTTGGGGTGTAGGGCCTAGGGTTTGGGCTTTAGGGTTTAGTGCCGAGGGGTCAGGGGGGGTGCTTGAGGGTTTTTAGGGCTTAGGGTTTAGGGGTTTAGGGTTGAGGGTTCAGGGGTTTAAGGTTTTTAGTATTTTAGTGTTTAGGGTTTAGAGGTTCAGGGTTTCAGGGTTAGGGTTGAGGGGTTTGAGATCTAGGGGGTCCGGGGTGCTTACTTTTTTTACCCTATATAGACTCTTAAGGATCCCTAGAACTCCCTCAACAAGGCCCAAGGGTCCGTGCTAGGGGCCCATACTTCTAATCTTAGGGTGCTTGAGGGTTTCAGGGGTTGGGGGTCCAGGGTTCAGGATTCAAGGCTTGGGGTACAAGGTTTAGCATTTTCGGGTTTTGGGTTTAGGGGCTTAGGGTTTAAGGGTTAGGGTTTTAAGGGTTTAGGGTTGAGGGTTTAAGGGTACAAGGGTTGGGGTTTCGGGGCAGAAGCGCTTTTAGAATCTTTAGGTTCTGGTATTGAGGAGTTGGGAGTTCCAGCACTTGCGGGGTCGGCATTCAGGGCTTAGGGTTCAGGGTTTGGGGGTTAGTGTTCAAGGGTTTAGGGTTTTAGGGTTTAGGGTTTAGGGATTGGGGGTTGGTGTTCAGGGTTTAGAATTTGGGGTTTTGGCCGCCGTGGCGCCTAGGAGTTGAGCTTCGGAGTTCGTGTTTGTGACACGCTCCTCGAAAACTGAAAACAATCGCCAACATGGTATGCGCTCGCGGACATCACGATAATTCTTAGCAGGTGGTATACGCACACAAGGATTGGTTTCAATGGCCTAAACCTAATCTTCCGAGACTTGACGATTCTGTCTGTCGATGTGTCGGTCTGGCTAATTATGAGACATGGTTCAAACATACTCACACATTTCCACATAAATGCAGATCTCTATAAATACCTGTATCCTGAATGCTACCCAACACCTATAAACCCCAAACCCTAAACTATCAACTGCTTCCTGCCGCATTCTCCCAACCCTAAACCCTAAGCCTTGAGCCCTAAACTGATGGGAGGCCAAAAGGGAGGTTTAGGATTCTTGGGGTGGGGATTCCTTACTATGAACCCTATTATGGGAACCCTAATCCCTATTAAACCCCCCCCATAGGCTAAAACCCCTTTTGGCCTCCCATGAAAAAACCCCAAACGCTAATCTCTTGCACTCCCCCGCCTCTGGTCTCTCTACTTGCCCTAAACCCTAAACCCTAAAACCTAAACCCTAAACTCCCCCGCCTCTGGTCTCTCTGCTTGACAGCCCTCAGGCGGTTGCAAGCGGGAGCCGTAGAACCTGAAGCCGAAGCTAGCGGTTTTGGAGTCCACTGTCGCTTCGTATGGGAGTTTCCGAAGATCAGGGGTCCTGATTTGGTAGAATGTAGGGTTTCTATATTAGGAATTGTTACTATGATTTGGGGAAGTACTTGAAGGCTCATGGGACTTACTAAGTAAGGTTATAAGTAGGTTATAATTAGGATAACCCCACTTAGGGGACTTATAACCCCACTTATAACCTACTTACTAAGTCCCATGATCCTCTAAGTATGGGAGTTTCCGAAAATCAGGGGTCCTGATTTGGGGTTCCTTTTGATCAGGATCCTACTCCCTACTTTCGGAAACTACCAGAAACTATTCACTGAGGACCCTATGCCTGAAGGGTTCCCCACAGGTCGCCCTTTGACAACGGTCTGCCCAAATTCCAAACTCAGGTGCTATGTCCCCTGAACAGCGAACAACTAAAATCCCCCGCCCTAAAGGCTTCAGGCTTCGGTGTAGTATACTTAGAGGATCATGGGACTTAGTAAGTAGGTTATAAGTGGGGTTATAAGTCCCCTAAGTAGGGTTATCCTAATTATAACCTACTTATAACCTTACTTACTAAGTCCTATGAGCCTTCAAGTAGGGGCCTTAATAACTGGAATAGCTTTTTAAGGGGTTGTGTGAAGGGGTGTATAGTAGGGTCTACATCCTTGTAATTGCCTGTATAGTAATCCTTACAGGAACACCCTTTAAAGGAACCCTTATTAAGGCCCCTTTAGTAGGAGGTTAGGCTTTGGGGCTTCTGGGTTTAGGGTTTACAAGAAGCGAGAACAACCAAACAACGCGCGTAAGGGCAACCCTGTAGTTCCTGGTTGAGGCACTGATCCCGTGGGATCCGTCTGACCGCCATGCTGAAACCTACACCCCAAAGCCTAAACCGCCTAAACCCTAAACCTCAACCCCTAAACCGCCTAAACGCTCAATCCCAACCCCTAAACCCTAAACCGCCTAAACCCTAAACCTCAACCCCTAAACCGCCTAAACGCTCAATCCCAACCCCTAAACCCTAAACCGCCTAAACCCTAAACCTCAACCCCTAAACCGCCTAAACGCTCAATCCCAACCCCTAAACCCTAAACCGCCTAAACCCTAAACCTCAACCCCTAAACCGCCTAAACGCTCAATCCCAACCCCTAAACCCTAAACCGCCTAAACCCTAAACCTCAACCCCTAAACCGCCTAAACGCTCAATCCCAACCCCTAAACCCTAAACCGCCTAAACCCTAAACCTCAACCCCTAAACCGCCTAAACGCTCAATCCCAACCCCTAAACCCTAAACCGCCTAAACCCTAGACCGCCTATAACCCTAAAACCTAAACCCTGCAAACCTCCGGGGTCTCCGGCTTTCGGTGTTGAATTTTCTGGGGTTCGGAGGTTTAGGCTTCTAGTACATGCGTGATCCTAAACTCAGAGAGCCCAAAATCCTCGTTTTACCAATCTAGCAAGCGATGACATAGACTGTAAAACCCTAAAGCCTGAACCCCTCTTGACTAGTCTTGATTTCGGATTTGATATGTGGGAGTTTCCGAATATAGGGACCCTAATATGGTACCATAATAGTAGGATCCTATTTTTAAGGACCTCCAAAATAAGGTACCCTCATTTTCGGAAACTCTCATATGCTTCCGAATTGAGAAACCCTAAACCCTTGAAGGCTCTTCTCGGAATTTGTATCCAAGGCTGAGCGGCCAGTCCCAAAACTTCGCAGCGCGTCGCGCCTGTCAGGCAGCTTGATTGAAGGCTTAAGGAGTTTAGGGCTCAGAGCTCATCTGCGAATTAAAGGAAATATATCACGATAATATCATAATGAGGGGTCCCGAAAGCTGCTCAGGGTTTCGGTCGGGTGTATGCTCTCTGCACCCAGTCTGTCTTAGCAGTTGTCTGCTTGTCGGGTAAGGTGTCCTTGCATACGCGACTTCTGCCAAAGGCCGTTCTAGGTTGCGGGAGTTTGACTTGATACATCTAGAAAGGAATATTTTGCATCCATCGACTACCAAACTCTCCGCTATTACGAGACTCCTCGTTTATGCCACGAACTCGAAATCCTGCATCTCTGACACCGAATATCAACCGTAAGCCCTTCTGATGTGAACCCTGGACCCCGGAAGAAAAGTGCAAAAGCCGCAGAGCAAGACCCTGAACCCTGAACTTGAGAAAGCCGAGACCATGCTAAGCACCTCACAACTGAAAACATCCCAAAATCCTGAAGCCCCATAAACCCTGAACCATACAACCCTAAAGCCCTACAAACCCTTATGCAACCTAAACCCTGAACCCCTATCAACCCCTCAACCCTGAACCCCTATAAACCGCAATCAACCACGTAGAAACCCCGAAGCCCTCCAAGCCTTCAACCCCTAAAAGCCCTCAACCCGCAGGAACCCTTTCAACCCTGAATCCCATACAGCATCAAAACACTATGCTAAACCCTAAACCTAAACTACTAAACCCCCTTTTTGAACACCCTAAACCCCAACCCCCCTTGAAACACCCTAAAGCCCTGAAGCGCCCCGCCTGGCCACCGACCTCCCCGGCTCGAAGAAGTCGATGGCGACCTCAGCTCTCCCGAGAGCCCTAAACCCCGAACCCTAAACCCCTAAAAAAGGAACCCTAAGACCCTTATCGAACTCTAGCTACCTTTAAAAGGAACCCAGCTTCTGATATGGACCCAAAATCCGAGACCCTTCTTAAGGAAAGATCATGGGACTTAGCAGCTAGATTTATTATTAGGGAAACTATATTTATAACCCCAATTGGGGTACGGGGTTTCCGAAAATCGGGGACCCCAATATAGCAGGATCCTTATTATAAGGACCCCCAAGTAAGGTACCCCTAATTTTCGGAAACTCCCATATTCCCAAACCCCAACCCCGACCCGTTTGCTTATAGGGTTTGCGGGGTGTAGGGTTTAGGGTTTAGCGTCTGGGATTTAAGGTAGGGTTTATGGCTTTGGGTGTCGGGGTACATGATACGTAAAATACAGGAGTTGAATACTTCCAGACCCCATAATTCACGGAATCTATGATGTAGGGGTTTATGAGTTCTATGTAGGGTTTGATAAGCTGTTCAACCCGGGAATCTCACTCAGGAGGAATATTTTGGCATTGCAGGGGTTTGTAGTGTTTCAGGGGGCTTCTGACTCAGGGAGATCACCTTCAGATGGTCTTGGGCTTTCGCAGCCGCTCGAAAAAGAAGGCTAGACGATAAATCACGGTTGAACAAGCTTCCAGGGTTCGTAGCGTTTTTTCATCAGGGTTTTTGGAACTTCATCACATGGGAGCTTCCGAAAACAGGGGGCCCCAATATAGTACCCTAAGTATTAGGATCCTTACTATAAGGACCCCAAAATAAGGTACCCCGAATTTGCGGAAACTCCCATATAACTCCTTCGAGGGATCCTAAACCCTAAATCCTAAAAACCCTAAACCCTAAAAGCCCTAAACCCTAAAAACCCTAAACCCTAAAGGTTTGGCGTTTAGGTTTGGAGGCTTTGGGCCTCGGGGTCTCGAGTTTCGGATGGAGGACGAGGAGCCCGGCTGTGCGTCAGGATTGATAGGGTATGCGATTTTGACAGTTTCCGAAAATTAGGGATACCTTATGTTGGGTCCTTATAATTTGGATCCAACTATTTAGGGTAGCATATCTTAGGGTCCCCTGTTTTCGGAAACTCCCATTTAGGGTCGAGGGTGAAGCGATTCGGGTTTACGGTTGAAGGCATAGCAACAGGTCAAAGATGACCTAGCAAAGATGCCGGAAGGATGTAAACCATGACTACTGAAAGGATCATGGGACTTAGTATATGGGAGCTTCCGAGAATAGAGGGTACCTTATTTGGGGATCCTTATAATAAGGATCCTACTATCTAGGGTATTACATTAGGGTCGCCCTTTTTAGAAAACTCTCATATAAGGGCATTACAGTAGAAGCCCAAAAGTTGGAAACCCAATAGCCTCAATCCTTCAGAGTATTGTATAGGGAATCCCAGAACTATGTGGCCTTAATCCGGTTTCCAACTTTATGGGGTTTAGTGTAAAGCATGACTACTGTTCGTTGCAGCGACCGTCTCGACAGTGCTCCTCGTACTATGACACACTGGACACTTCATTCAGCTTCAGCATCTGAGAGTTCCGAAACTCTCGAAACAGCAGGTCCAATATTTGGATTCGGAGCTTGAAGGGCTTTAGGTGTGACGGTTTAAAACTGGCACGTGCATCCTTCAACCCAAAGCTGGTCCTGAATTCCAAACGCCGCAACATGTCCATCTACATGTAGCAATGCCTTTTCCCAAGCCCGATATGGCGTTTCATCTGTTGTTAAGTTTAGGGTTTAGGGTTCAGGGTTTCTTATCTTTGGTTAGTAGGGAATGGAGGAATGGGGTACAACTATAACTACTATTACTATCATTCTTCCATTCCCTACTAACCAAAGGTAAGGTTTAAGGTCGAGGGTTCCTTGTCGCTCTTTTCCGGCTCGGCCTTAAACGCTGCTTCCTCGAGCCTCTCTCGGACGGCACCGCTGTCGCCACCAGCGTATTGTGCACCCCAGGTCAGGATTAGACCGTCCTCGCTCATTCAAAGATCCAGGGGGGGGTTTAGAGTTTAGAGTTTGAGATGTTTGACCTATTGTTCGTTTGTTCGGGGTTTGAAATCTTGGAAATAAACCCTAAACCCTAACCGTTAATACATTCTGGGTTTCACCAGAGAGAGTCAAGACTTGCAGGCTCGAGGTCCTCAAATGCCCTGCGTTGCGCCCAGAGGTCGCTAAACCCCATTGGGTTTAGTGCTTAAGCTTAAGGATTTAGGGGAACCGTGGAATGACAGGCCCGTTGGTGGAGAAACGCCACCGACTGCTCTTACTCTTTCTTGGCTTCGGCTCGGTTCTTTGGGAGGGGGAAAAGTGCATTAAAGTATGTTACAGTAGGTTATTATAGTATATTTGAGAGTGTGTATTGGTATAGTATCTGAATATCGAATATCATGAATCTCATCTCCTCAACCTCCAATCGTCAACCAGCCGTGTCCACATGCCATCGCATGCCCACAAGATGCTTCCAAGCCAACTCCGTGCCCTAGTCCAGAGATTCAACCAGCATATTCCGCGTGACACCGGTAAACTCATTTGACTGGCAACCCCTAAATACTATAAACCCTATGAAGCCTAAACCTCAAACCCCCTCAATCCCAAGCAGCCTAACCATGTCCTCCCCTGGATTTGGGGTGACCATAGCGCCTTCAAAGCCGTGCCTAGCTCATTCCTGCCAAGCACTACTCTAGTAAAGGGAATCGTCAGCCAGCCATCAGAAATGCAGGAAATAATTAAAATAGAAAAACAGTAGGAATCATGGATACGAAAAAAATAGGAACGAAATTACGCAATAGGAAAAAAGTAGGAAACAAATAGGGCAGCAAATAGAGCAAAACACAGGCATGAGCAGCAGCATCCACAGAACAATCACAACAGCAGCAATACCACGATAACTCGCATACTTAACGATACCCTCTACCCCCGACGCCCGAAAACGGAGGCTAGAGGCGGGAGGGCCCAGCGGGGGGGGGGGCGGGTTGGAGAGGGGGGGCCTCAGCGGCCTCCTACTTTTTTTCCTATTTTTGTCCTATTTTTGTTCCTATTTTTTTCCTATTTTCAGGAAAATGCGATTTTTTGCTTTTTCCTAGGAGGGATAGGAAAAAATAGGAAAAAATTAGGAAAATAATAGGGAAAAAATAGGAAAACAGCTGCTCTGCCAGTCTGCCACCCCCCCACCCCGGACCACCCCCCCCCCCACCACTGCCGCTCTGGGGGGTGCCGGGACGGGAAGGGGGGGGAGGCAGGAATGGGGAGGGGAGTAAGGAGGTGGAGGCGTGCTGAAAGCTCCTTCTCGCTTCCCCCTCCTCCTCCGGCACCTGTCAATCATAATTCAAGCACGCTAACCTCCTATGCCGAATTTTCATCCTATTTACATTCTATTTTTTTCCTAAATTGTATCGTATTCCGAAATCTGACCCTATCCGAAATCCTATTCCAAATCCTATTTTTTCCTAAATTAATTAATCGTCTGAACTCCTCGATGCTGGCCAAGAGCTTTTTACTACACTACTCTTCGCCTGCGACCCGGGCCGAGCCAGACGACGTGTTTTCAGTCAACTCCGCTTGTAATGCCTATCTAGTCCCCCTAAACCCTAAACCCTAAACCCCTAATACTTGAAGCCTTTTGGGGGACAGTCCTCCCGGATCGCAGCAAACGCGCCCTCGGTGGCCTGGAGATGCTCAATGCCCTTCAGCTGCTCCTGCGACGGTAAACCGCAGGGTTGAAGGTTTGCGGTCATGGGGGTTTCGAGGTTTATGTGTTAGAGTTTAAGGCTTAGGACGGTAAACTCCAGGATTGCAGGTTTGGGCTTATGGGGATTCTGAAGCTTGTTTGTGTGTTTTCGGGCTTCGGGTTTAGCTTGGTTTAGGTCTTGTAGGCATTTGCTCGTGCCTAGGTGCCTGATCGAACTTCCCGTGGCTCTAAATCAAGCACATCATCATATTGCAAATGGTACCAACCTGACAGGCCAGCAAAGCAGCGGGGCCACTATGCCAGCAAGGGTTAAGGCCCAAGAAAGTAGGAAAGGCGCGAATGCGCCCTATCCCGAACATCCTATTAGCAAGTGGTTTCACCCAGCGAACCGATTCAAGAACCACGGATTCCCCCAACAAACGCCTAAACCCGCACCCCAAACTCCCCATAAACCCCCAACCCCATATGGAGGTTTCCAAAAACAGGGGCCCCAAATATAGCACCTACCCTAAATAGTAGGATCCTTGTTGCAAGGCCCACAAATTAAGATACCCCCCCCCCCCCCCCCCCGAATTTTCGGACACTCCCCTGTGGACTCATGGACCCCGTGTGCCTGCACGGCGCGGCTGTCGCCGCCCTCGTCTTTGGAACCCCAGGAAACCACGGAGCCATCGCGGCAGAGCGCTGCGAAGGCGTTGGCCGAGGCCTCGCTTCGGAAGAATCGAGGGTTAACGGTTTAGGGCCTCGGGTTTAATTGGGGTTTATAGGACTTCCTGATTAGGGGGTTAACGGTTTCGAGGCTTAGAGCTTAAAGGGTTTTAGGCTTTGGGAGATTCGTGCTTGAGATTTACGAGTCTGAAGTGAATCTGTGGATCTCAACCTATCGCTGTAAGGGTTCTACCGCATGCTTACAGGGCCATGACCTACTGTTGTAAGGAGCCCCTGAACAACCCCATAGCGACCTTGAGCAAGCAGTATAAACTAATCCATTTAACGAGCCTTCAAAACCGAACAACTCCTTTCGGGTTCCTTGCCCAGAGACTCCAGTATCCCTGTATTAAGGAATGTACCTCAATTCCGATTAGGGATCCTACGAAAATTTAAGGTATACTCCTTAATTAAGGGATCTTGGAGCCCCCTAAACGCTAAACCCTATAATTAGATCCCTTTACAGGAAACCTTATAGATCCCTTTAAGGGATATTGGAGTCTCTGGGTGGTTCTGGAGTGCTGCGAACCGGAGGCTGCCTGGATCTGCTGGACATCCGTCAGGCGCGCC